AGTCATCCTAGAATGCGTGGATATACAAATTAGTTTGGGAAACCTTTTCTATAAACACTTGAATTCTATTGACTACTGTTCAACCAATAGGGTTTGGGGGCGAATACAGCTCAGATTTGAACTCTTCGCCTTAATTTACCCTCAGAAAGTCGTTTTTCCTATGACTTGATTTCTATTGGTTCCTGCTCAACCAATGGTATTTCAAGGCAAGTGGATGACAGATTCTAGTTCTCCGCCCCAAAAAACCTCTAAGTATCATGTCCGTGATCGGAAAGTAAAGCTCCATTTTCGGATCAACTAGAGCGTGGACGAAAACAGAACCTATTTCCGTCTGATTATCTTGGCAATAGGTGAGCTAGCCTTCGTGTTTCTTTATGTTTCATATACCATTTTGTAGCTCGTGAAATTCTCTATCGAATAATATATAATAGTTGGAGCTTTATTGAATATGATAGTAAAAGTTTTTTACGAAAGTGAGAATAGGTCGATTTTCCTATAGGAAGCCATAGGGAAAATGACTATTTTTGCAATAACTCAGAAATGCCTCGGCCAATCATGCTCATCTTCGAACTCGACCGAGATATTGTTAAGACTGAACTGTATAGAAAATTTCATGACAATCGAACTATTCTTTCAAAAGTTATCGTGTAAACGGCCGGACGTCCGGACGGACACACTGACCGATTCGAGAGTGTACTCACTTTTTGAGTACACAAACATGATCAAAAACAGGGTGCCCATAGTTAATATTTAGAATGAAGCATACATTTCTATTAAGAAAATAGAGCGTGTCTTAACTTCCGGACAAAATTTCCATTCACCAGCAATCATAATTTTAAAATCAATGGCCTAAACATAATCGTCATTTGTGGCTATTATATTATCAAACAATTGAAAGGTTCGACTAAATAGTTATTAAAAACAAAAAAGTTTATAGAACGATATTAAAAAGTGATTTTCTCTCGAACTGAAACGAAATCTTTCATATACATATTAATAAATTATAGGTATAGTGAGATATATTCTCAGTATAATTAAGTAAACGGATTGTTTTTGTTTTCGTTTAGTAGAAGAATATGTTTTGAGTCATTTTTATGGCACACATGCTGCTCATAAATTCGATTCAGTAAGATCAGTGAATTAAGTTATATGGTTCTGTAGTATAGATAATTGGTTCATGTCTAAAATCATTTCACTTCTTAGCCTGAAAACTTGCGTTCAATTTTTGAATATTAAGTCAATCATGTGGCATACATTAAATGATTATGATGTAGATCGAAAATAACTTTATTAAATCTTGATTTTAATCATATAAAAAGAAAGTGTATACGAAAACAAAAACAGGAATAAAATTCTAATCAATGTATGCTATATTTGTATTACAAAACATCTATTGATTGCAAGAATTAGATGAGAGAACCAAAATTTTTATGTAATATGTCTTTCTTGATTTATTTTATATATTTTTGATATATATTATTTTAAAAAAGAACTAGAATAGAATGTTAGATTCTAGGTCTTAAGGAGTATTATGCAATTTACGACGTTCCATTTCTTCATCAATTAATTTTTGCTGTATTTGCATAGGTAAAGCACAATTAAGATTAAAAATAAAGGAAATCATTGATTTCGGTATTCCAATAAAATCTATGAAAACTTTAATGAACATTATATCATTAATGATATATCGATTTGTTTCTAATGGTTGATTAAAATCAACTAAAGAACAAAATTTAGAAATGCCTGATGCAATATTCATTGATGAACATGGTCGTTGAAAACTGGTACTTCGTGTATCAGGTCTAAATGATTCAGTAATATGTTTGGCTTGTTTTGTATCATCTGATTCAAGCATAGTTCGTTGATCAAAGAGACAAAATGATACACGATAGGAGAATGGCCATTTTAATAGTGCATCATATTTACCTCGAAGAACAACTAGAAAAATAGATATATGTGTCCCTCGTGCGTTGCCATCGCCATTAAGATACAGTCGAATACATAGTTTATATCCTGTTGTTGACGTATAGAATGCTGGTGTATAAATACTTATTTGACGTTCAGATTGTGCGTCATAGGTTTTTTCGCGAACATTAGCTATTTTCCAAATCATTATACCATCTAGCATATAATGCTTGGTTACTTGATTTTCATATTTAACTTCTTCTGTTATAACGGTGATATCTGATCTCAATACATTTTGATTGATTGACATTCCATCGATGTGAGATTTTTGCAAAATATTTTTTGTTTTTGTGTCATTTATCTCTTCCACGATCGTTAATAGTTGATCCTTCAATTGATGCATGCCTGCATTCAGTTGAATAAGCTCATCGTTCTCTGTCTCAGTAATTGTTATTGATTTTGATAGGTTTTCATAGTATTCATGAAGATGCGCTGTTATGTTTTCAATGTTAATATCGACTTTTGAATCACTCTTCTCTTTTTCAGTGATCTGCTGCGCTAATTTTATAAGACTCTTCTGATGTTGTTCTGTAATATAGTGTTCTTTATCTGAAGTTGACTATATATATAATCAAGAAAACGATAAAGAATATTTAAATCTTTTATCTGAATACCGTCTGATCTTCTATACAACCATAACAAGCCAACGGGCATGATCTACTATTCCATGTCATGTTGATTAGGTCGGATGTATTTGAAATTTCACTGATGAAAACTAAAATGACTCAATAAGAGAATATTAGAAATGGCATTTCAAAAAGTTCTCGAACTAGTTTTATTTAATAACAACAAGATATACTATTATGTCACTATCAGTATCTGTTCATAGTTCATACAGTTCTCGATTCAATACCTATACATTTATATATACAATAAACCCAACAGTATTAAACAAACATGTGCAAAATATAGCAATACTTTGTGGAATATATTATATCTTCACAAATTGAAAACCAAATATACAAGTAAAGTTCTGCTTTGCGAAGGATGAAATTCTATACAACATGTGCTCAAGTTGAATGGCAGTCTGTAGTGATAGTAGACCATGATGTACTATAATTTTTAAATATATTCGTCAATTTAAAGACGAACAATTAAACATTCAGAATCTTTCTAGAGATGAGTTACATATTGCTGTATCAAGAGAAACGAATGAGGCTTTCATGTGAAACGAATTTCAATCATTTGTAATTGATCATGTTAAATATTATATATCTCACATATGAAATGCTTGTACTGGCTTTCGATTTGTTCAATTGTTATTCAACTAAAATATTCCTAAATATAGAAATGTCTTCTAGAGGAATCGATGTAAACAATGTATTGGAAGCGCCAGAACTTCTATTATGCCCAAACAATTTCAGTTTTTCGAGCAAGGTCTCACCTATAATATTAAATTAGTCTTAGTGGGAGATCATCGACGTAGAAAAAATATTTCTCCAGGCGTTAGATACTACTGATTACGCATGAATTTTAGAAAGCATTTTCATTTCTCATCGACATATGAGACCATAATCAATATGTACTCTGTAGCTGCCATTTTGTCTGAAAACAGGTATATCAACATCATGACAAATCAGCAAATCCACATTTCGTCTTCTCTTTGGTAACACCTACACCCAAATCATATTAGTGGCTCTCCTTAATAGAAGACCCCTCAAATTTTTGAATACTTGGCCAGTTTATAGAAGCTCTGAGAGCTTCTATCACGATGAAGGGTTTGTTTTCAATCACTTGAGTTCTCATACTTTAATACCTATGTTATTCACACTTAAGATCATCACCAATTCATGATTATTCATGTATCAAACGATGTTTGCCTTCAGAAGTCATACTGTGATAAATATGAGATAATGTTACTTATTAAAATAAAGAAATTCATTACTGAGGAATGTTCGAACTTTCTAAGTTTGTGTCAATGAGTATGGAATCATGGATAACAATATAGCAGAGCTGATGTTTTCAATGAATAGAGAATTGTATGAACTATATGCAAAGATCAATACCAATACAACAGTGTTTCTTATTTCTCTCATATAAAGTCATTATAAGGACTTTTTAAATGTTTTAATCGTTTTTTACGGATAACTTACTCAGTTTCTATTTCTAATAGTGTCCTGTATTAAAAATAGGCTTTTTTCATCGTCACCAATGATGAAATTATGAAATTACGAGTAATGTCATCGCGATGATGCAATATAGGGACCGCTAGATGTCTGTTTAAAAAAAAAGAAGCTATTTTTATATAATTGTTATTAGTACACTATGAAACTCATATTAATGAATTTCAATTTATATCTCGTACCTATTTTTTTTATCATATTAAGGCAAGTATAGTCGGTGAATATAAATCAATCATTAAAATTCTAAATAAAAACATATTTCTAATAGGATTAAGGCATTCAGAAAATATAATTCGTAGCTAAAGATTAAACGACGAATCATTTCATTCATTTTAAGAACCTATAGAGATTTGATTCTGTGATACTTCGCTGTTTATAACTAAAACGGCATCATCAGATAAGAAATTAAAAAACAAAAACCTGCAATCAAATTTTTGTTTCTGTTGAAATAAATTTTATTTTTCATCTAAAATATTTTAGTGTGGTTGTTCATTTTTTTTCTGACCTAATCCAACTATTAACCATATTCCAACATTACATGTAATGTAACGAGATATTGTTATTGTTATTTATTTATCTATTTGTATCACCTAAAATCCATTGTAATACATGGTCATGACAGCATAACCATAAACTATTGTTATGATTAATCCAGAGTTGTAACCGGTAACAATAAATGCAGGTCCGGCCCAAACCAGTGAAGGATTTCTTACCGACCTGCATGCATTTTCTATAAGAGGGCATGCAGTAGAATATTTCTATTAAGTGTGAATATTCATAAAAATACACTTAATATACTTTACCAAGTTATATTATCGAAACAAAATGAGATCATTGTTCGTCATTGTAATTTATCATATATTTATTTTCATTTCATTTTATATATATAGAATTTGTATTCCAATGAAATTTTCTTTATCCATTGATAATAGACGTCAAGATAGAATAATCTTATGGAAATTGATAGTCAAGAAAAGGCTTTCAGTGCAATAGCTACGGTATTAAAATATTAAAGAGAATGGAACTACTTTAACTATTGTGGGATACATAATCATCTATAGAACAGACCATGGCAGACATAGCGACATCTTTGTGATAGTTCGTCAAGAGGTTTAAAGAATATTGGTATATGTTTGTCTTGATCTTTGAGGAAAACTGGAGGAAATATATTTAATATCTTCGTCATATACTTCAACATTTATTAACAATCATATTTTACAAAAGCAAAATAACAGTGAAACAGGAACCTTACGTATCTTCTGCGATGATTCAGAGATAAGTGTAACTAACTGAGAGAGTAATTTGACTCATGTTAAGTGAGAAAAGTGAATAATTAGTCATGTCGATCTACCGATCGATCTGACCAGTTTAGACTGGTACCGATAGTGAAACAACTCTATCAGTTGCAACTTTGAGTTAACCCATAACTACCATGCTTACTTTCATGTTTAACTGCAACTTATGTCTTCTAATACATTACTCATATTAGTAATATGTTCTTATTCATAATTATGACAATATATGCTGCAATAAATGTTGAAGTATATGACGAAGATATTAAATATATTTCCTCCAGTTTTCCCCAAAGATCAAGAC